TGTAATACTCATGTGGGGGCAAAACTGACCTGTGAGCACAATTACGGTCTTTTCTTACCCCATTTGGCACAGAAATAATGCATTTAATTTATCAGGTGCTGGCCCAGATCCCAGTGGAGGTGCTGTGGAATCTCCTCTCAAGCTAGAATTCCGAAACGTACTTAGCTCCAAGGGTTTCAAACAAGGATAGGTGGACCACACTTCATCTTTACTTTTCAGAGGGTAATAAGAAGTAGGAGGGAAGGAGAAAACCACAAGTATCCAAACCCAACCCTATTCACTTTCCCTAATTAAAGAGGGTACATTCAAATGGTTCCTTCCAGGGACCAAGTACCTTCCTGAGATGCCTAAATTCTTGATGATTAACTGTCCACAAGAAACAGTGAAAGCATTCTTCAGGTAGTTTACCTGCGGGGAAACCTCACAGTATAAAAAAGTACCCTCCTGCTTTCTCACACTGTTTGCTCAATCAGCTTCTAGAAACCTGTTTGTTCAGCAATAGCGCCACCAGCAAAATGGCCCGACTTCCCCAGACTTCAGGTAATGTAGTTTATAAGCACTGCACCTGCAAGTGGAACCTATCACATACTGACAAGGTACATACTGGAACACAGTATGAAAGCTGCAGAGCAAAAGCTCTGTATCTATTCAGGGGAGGGGAACTCTGGTTCTTCCTTACCGAGAAAAAAGAAAGACAATCTATCCAACCTTCAGAGTTCAATAGCAATTTTTGCTCTAGTTCTGTTCTCCCCACATTAATATTCTGTTCTACAATACTAGCTCCAGGGTAGGACTTTCTTTAGCCAGTTATCCTCCAATTATGAGTAAATTCTTTATTGTGGGGTTCATAAATTGTCCTCTTCTTGGTTTGATTTACCAGCCTAATCCGCTCTGGGTAAAAAGCTAAAATAAGCAAATTTTTGGTCCTATAAAACTAAGGGTCAAACCATGGATTTATGATAACAATGCATCACAGACCATCCCTCTTGGCCAGCCTCTCTCACATCTTTTTACAAAGATATACAAAGCTTCACATTTTTATTCTCCTTTTTCTGAAAGGGGATAGACACTATCTGGTGGTAACCAGCCTCCAAGATGGTCTCTAATGATTCTTGTCTCCTGACATTATGTTGTCTCCTCCCAAATTGATAGAGATAGGAAGTGTAACCAATAAGATATTGCAGAAATAACTGAGTATGACTTCCGAGGCTTCCACTTTGTTCTTTCACTCTGGGGGAAACTAGCCACCATGTTGTGAGGACCTGCTAGCAGGCCTGTAGGGAGGTCCACATGGTGAGGAATCAACAGCCAGTATCAACCTACCAGCCATGTGAGTTTGAGCCACCTTGGAGGTGGGTCCTTCAGCCCCAGTCAAGCCTTCAGATGACTACAGTTCCGATTAATATACAAAATGTAATCTCATGAGATCCCAAGCCAGAACAATCCAGCTAAACTACTTGTGTGTTCCTAACACAAATTATGAGATAATAAATGTTCCAATAAAAAACATTTCAGACCTTTGTTTGAAGGCCTGAATCTGGATTTTTCTGTCCCTTATTCCCATTGCTCTCATCTTTCCCCTCAGTGCCAGAGATGGAGACTTCTTTCTCAAATACACATAAACTAGTTTCAAAAGCTGGACAAGTCTATGGCCATGCTACCCTGAATGTGCCCGAATCTGTCTGATCTTGGAAGCTAAGCAGGGTCGGGCCTGGTTAGTACTTGAATGGGAGACCACCTAGGAAGACCAGGTGCTGTAGGTGTAAAAAATAAAAAATAAATAAATTAATTAAAAATAAGGGATTGTAAGCTGACAAGGTCCTTACAATCTGTGAGGTCAACCAAGGGTTGCCTCACCTAAAAAAAAAAAGCTGAACAAGTTATCAGAAAGATAAATTATTTTAATCACCTTCTATAATAATAAAGGTAACATTTGCTACAAGGCCTCAAGAAGTTCTCCTTAGAGGCAAAATAGCTATCTGAGATGTAACTTAAAATGTCTGACTTTAGTAGTCTGCTTCTTAAAAAGGAAAGACACTACACATTACAAAGCTACTGTGGTTTTTAGTTGATCAAGATCAAGTAAAAACTAATCATTACCTCATTAGCTTGGCTACCTCAGTGCTCACTCAAACCTAGAATTACAGCCTACAAGTTCTGGAGTTGAAATTCAGACTTGACCATTAATGACCTTTCTACTCAGTTTTCTTGTCTATAAATATAAATGCTCCATTATTAACTTACTCCACAACACTCAACCATTCATCTTCTGGTTTCTTCAGCAGTCTTGCTCCTAAAAACCACAGAACTATCTTCCAGTTCTCTGTAAGACTTGGTAAAAAAGGATTACATCTCAATTCCAGGGATGTAACAACCCTAGTGACTTTCTTCCTGAACCAGGAAAGCTACAGGAAAGCTAGGGCAGGTTGCCCAACTCTGGCACTACTGATTTCTGAGACAGAAAATTCCTGTGAGGGCAGGGGGGAGGAAGGGGGGCGCATCTTACGCATTGTAAGATCTTGACCTCTATCTACTGGATGACAATAGCACTCCCTCCCCATATGACAACCAAAAATGTCTCCAAGTGTTGTTAAATATCCCTTGGGAGGCAGAATCACCCTGGTTGAGAACCACTGGGCTAAGGGACAGTTGCTTGAAAAACTAGGGTTCCTGCCAAGCTCCTGACCTGGGAGCCAGAATAGGGAGGCCTGGCACCACTTCCTTGCCTAGGCCGTTATAAAGCAGCCTATGGAAGAGCACAGAGACTCAGGTTCCATTCTCAGTCCTGAACATTCCAAGTAGAACACTCCAAGAGTGGTTACTGGGCAACCACACAGTTAGCCTAATACTCCCATCAAAGGGAGAGGCCTAGTCTACTGCTCCTGGCTGAGCAGCCTAACTGGTTACTGCCAAGGCAAACCCAGCAGTCCAATTCACCCAGGAATAATTTATAATTGCCCAAGCATATCCCATGCCAACCGCACCCCCCCCACTCCCCTCAATCTCATCATCCACCTGGCCCTTTGTTCAAGTCCCACTAGCTTCCCTGGTGGTTCTTCTAAGGAGGTAGGCAGCTCCTGTGCCCCTGGGTCTTTATGTCAAGGGCTCCCTTGTACAGATATCCTTAACTCCCTTAATCTATTTGGGTCTCTGCTTGCATGTCGCCTCTTTGGAGGTCTCCAACTACTCCATGTACTAGAACACCCTCTCGGGGTATTGACCACCTCAGAATACATCCCATATTCATTTGCCTGCTGTGGTCTGCCCCGGCCTATAAAATGCTTGAAGAATTCTTGCCAGTATTCCAGTGCCTATTCAGCACCTGACACAATGAATTTTGACAGATGGTGAACGAATTACCATGGAAGCCAGTCATTACTCGCAAGACTCAGGCTCAGCCTCTCAGGGCCCAAGGTGCTCCGCTCAGCCCAAACCCTCCAAATATTGACTCCTCGCCCCGGGGTCTGGCGCCTCTCCCAGCCCGGGACAGGCACAGGGCGGGGGAAGCTGCGAGATCTTGCAGGAACGCTGCGCGAGGGAGGGGGCGACGATGGCGACGGCAGCCGAGCC